TCAGATCTGTTCCTCACTCTCATTCTGACCAGAACTGAAGCCGCTCCGACGAGCTGTGAAACATATTTGCTCCTTTTGACTCCTTGTGTCATGACATCACAAGGTGGAACAGAGTGGGTTTTTTTCAGTTTGAGAGAAGAACTTGTGCTAAATGTGCAGGGTTTTGTGTTAAACGTGTGTGAAAAAAACAAAAAAACACGACTCCAGGTCTGTGTGTGTTTGCGCTGAGAAAACATCATCAGAACAAGCTGCAGATCAGAGAAGGTGTAATCCGAGCTCTTTAAGTTTCCAGACTGAGGTGCTGCGGACGCGGTTTTAGGGAAAATATTGGAATTGCAGATTTTTATGGGAAAATGCAAATGGGTATCGAGTTCACAGCGCACATTTTAAACCCCCAGACGCGCGAACATCTGAGAGAAGAAGAAGAAAAAATCTGAACTGACAAACGAATACGAGAAACCCCAGGATTTCAGAACATGTTTGTAGAGCTTTAAACTGCAGATCGAGCTTTTATACAGAAGACGACACACTGGGAGGGCATCTGACACACTGGGAGGGCATCTGACACACTGGGAGGGCATCTGACACACACTGGGAGGGCATCTGTTTTAATGTTCTAATGTCGTTTCCTCGTCACAAACACAAATTTTCAAAAATTCCGTTTGAAATGAAAGAAGTTAATAGTAGATGTTTTTATTACTTTAAACTAATCAGAATCTGCCAAAGTTTCTCTGGTCAAAATATGATCAACATCTAACTGTGCCACATGGGGAACCGAGGGGCCGAAGAAGAGGCCAAAAAGATCAACATTTGGTCTGTGACTGTATCTGGGACTCGACATCGTCCACATGAAAACTCAGAAAAGTGTGAGATTGTGTCAGAAATGGTTATTCTGTCAAATATTCAGGTTCAACGGTTAGTCTGTAAACATGTGCTTGGAGTCTTGGAGCATTTCGGTTCAGCTCTCGATTTACCGTCAGTCTTCGTTCCTCCTCTCACCTCTGGTCATGAGCTCTGGGTAGTGACCATAAGGACCAGATCACAGATACAAGCGCTCGAAATGAGTTTCCTCCGCAGGCGTCTGGGCGTCTCCCTCAGAGACAGAGTGAGGAGCTCGGAGTAGAGCCGCTGCTCCTCCACGTGGAGAGGAGCAGTTGAGGCTCGAGCGTCTGTTCTGATGTGTCCTGGACGTCTCCCTCAGGAGGTGTTCATGTTCCACCAGGAGGAGGCCCCGGGGAAAACCCAGGACACACTGGAGGGACTAAGTCTCTGGACTGGCCTGGGAACACCTCAGGTCCCCCTGGAGGAGCTGGAGGAAGTGTCTGGGGTGAGGGAAGTCTGGGAGTCTCTGCTTAGGCTGATGCCCCCGAGACCCGACCCCAGATAAGCAGATGAAAATGAATGGATGGAGAGCGGGCGGATGATGAGTTTTGTGTCGCGGTTGCGGATGAAAAACTAACCCATCCACACATCAGCACTGGGGAGATCACACTTCTGTTTTTGTTTTGAGGCAATAAAGATATTTAGAGTTTATTTACAGACTTGATATTCTGCACTTTTGTACTTAAAACTCAAGACTCAAAACTTAAGAATTAAGCTTTTTTATGATTATTATTTGGTCCTGTAGTTTTTATTCCAGCCATATGACACAACCACAGCAGCAGACTGTGAAAAAACAGATTGTACTAAAAAAAAAGATGTGTAACACTTCATTAAAGGTAAAATTTGGAGTTTTAATTAATAACAAAATTAAGAAAAAAATACAGGTTAGGACAAATGTACGAAAACTACCTTTAGATCTGGACGGGTTAAAGTTATAGTCCTGATTCCGACCATGGTTCAGTCCTAGTTTAGTCCTGGTTTAGTCCTGGTTTAGTCCTGGTTTAGTCCTGGTTTAGTCCTGGTTTAGTCCTAGTTTTGTCCCTGGTTTAGTCCTGATTTAGTCCCTGGTTTAGTCCTGATTCAGTCCTGGTTCAGTCCTGGTTTAGTCCCTGGTTTAGTCCTGGTTTAGTCCTGGTTTAGTCCTGGTTTAGTCCCTGGTTTAGTCCCTGGTTTAGTCCTGGTTTAGTCCTGGTTTAGTCCTGGTTTTAGTCCCTGGTTTAGTCCTGGTTTAGTCCTTAGTCCCTGGTTTAGTCCCTGGTTTAGTCCCTGGTTTAGTCCTTGGTTAGTCCTGGTTTAGTCCTGGTTCCCTGGTTCAGTCCTGGTTCAGTCCCTGGTTTAGTCCTAGTTTAGTCCTGGTTTAGTCCTGGTTTTCCTGGTTTAGTCCCTGGTTTAGTCCCTGGTTTAGTCCCTGGTTAGTCCTGGTTTAGTCCTGGTTTAGTCCTGGTTTAGTCCTGGTTTAGTCCTGGTTTAGTCCTGGTTTAGTCCTGGTTTAGTCCTGGTTTTAGTCCTGGTTTAGTCCTGGTTTAGTCCTTTTTAGTCCTTAGTCCTTTTTAGTCCTGGTTTAGTCCTTGGTTTAGTCCTGGTTTAGTCCTTGGTTTAGTCCTGGTTTAGTCCTGGTTTAGTCCTGGTTTAGTCCTGGTTTAGTCCTGGTTTAGTCCTTGGTTTAGTCCTGGTTTAGTCCTGGTTTAGTCCTGGTTTCAGTCCTGGTTTAGTCCCTGGTTTAGTCCTGGTTTAGTCCTGGTTTAGTCCTGGTTCAGTCCTGGTTTAGTCCTTGGTTTAGTCCTGGTTTAGTCCTGGTTTAGTCCTTGTTAGTCCTGGTTTAGTCCTGGTTTAGTCCTTGGTTTCAGTCCTGGTTTAGTCCTGGTTCAGTCCTGGTTTAGTCCTGGTTTAGTCCTGGTTTAGTCCTGGTTTAGTCCTGGTTTAGTCCTGGTTTAGTCCTGGTTCAGTCCTGGTTCAGTCCTGGTTTAGTCCTGGTTTAGTCCTTAGTCCTGGTTTAGTCCTGGTTTAGTCCTTAGTCCTGGTTTAGTCCTGGTTCAGTCCTGGTTTAGTCCTTGGTTTAGTCCTGGTTTAGTCCTGGTTTAGTCCTGGGTTTAGTCCTGGTTTAGTCCTGGTTTAGTCCTGTTTAGTCCTGGTTTAGTCCTGGTTTAGTCCTGGTTTAGTCCTGGTTTAGTCCTGGTTTAGTCCTGGTTCAGTCCTGGTTTAGTCCTTGGTTTAGTCCTGGTTTAGTCCTGGTTTAGTCCTGGTTCAGTCCTGGTTCAGTCCTGGTTCAGTCCTGGTTCAGTCCTGGTTCAGTCCTGGTTTAGACCTTGGTTCAGTCCTGGTTTTTGAGTTAAAGTGTCCACATTAAACCCGATCGCTGGTCAAGCGTCAGAGATTCTGCCTGGAAAAGCTCCGTACGTCGTCTTTAAATCACAAAGTCCTTCTGTTCTTTCTGTTTTTCCATAAAAGTATAAATTAAAAATGACCCACAGAGACACTTCAAAGCCGCAGCGATCATCCAATTTTAAAACCGTCACAGCTTTTGTGCGGCGTTCACCTAAATTTCCTCTTAAAATAGTTTCGACAAAGAGAAGTTAAGACGTTTTTAAATCTGGGTGTCGTGTTTCTGACCTCCCACCGAGCGTCTAATAACACCAAACGACTCCGAGCTCCATTAAATAAAACAGAACCGCCACTTCTGCTTTTGTTAAAACGACGGAACGGCTTTTTTTGTTTTTTTAAATGTGAGTAAAACCGCCGCACGTTTACGCTAATGAAGTTTTATTTGACCAGAAACCAGAGCAGCAGAGTCACCGGATTAACATTTCAAACTCCACTTCAGCTCAGAGGGAAAAAAAAACTAGAGACGCGAGAAACAGATGCCAGAAAATAAATAAATAAATAAAACTCTCTTTCTCTTTTCTTTTTTTTTTTCATTACAATGTAGTCCTGGTTTAGTCCCTGGTTCAGTTTTGGTTCAGTCCTGATTTAGTCCTGGTCTAGACCTGGTTTAGTCCTTGATTTAGACCTGGTTTAGTCCCGGTTTAGTCCTGGTTTTAGTTCTGGTTTGTACCTGGTCTAGACCTGGTTTTTAGACCTGGATTAGACCTGGTTGAGACCTGGTTTAGTTCTGGTTCTGTCCTGTTTTAGTCCTGGTTTTAAACCTGAAATAGTCCTGATTTAGCCCTGGTTAAGACCTGGTTTAGTCCTGGTTTAGTCCTGGTTTAGTCTCTGGTTTAGTCTCTGGTTTAGTCTCTGGTTTTAGACCTGGTTTTAGACCTGGTCTAGACCTGGTTTTTAGACCTGCTTTAGTCCCTGTTTTAATCCCTGTTTTAGTCCTTGGTTTAGTCCTTGGTTTAGTCCTTGGTTTAGTCCTTGGTTTAGACCTGGTTTAGTCCTGGTTTAGACCTGGTTTAGACCTGGTTTAGACCTGGTTTAGTCCTGGTTTAGTCTTGGTTCAGTCCTGGTTCAGTCCTTGGTTTAGTCCTTGGTTTAGTCCAGGTTTAGACCTGGTTCAGTCCCTAATTTAGTCCTGGTCTAATCCTGGTTTAGACCGGGTTTAGTTTTGGTTCAGTCCCTAATTTAGTCCCTGGTTTAGCTCTTGGTTTAGTCCTGGTTTAGTCCCTGGTTTAGTCCTGGTTTAGTCCTGGTTTAGTCCTGGTTTAGACCTGGTTTAGTTTTGGTTCAGTCCTGGTTTAGTCCTTGGTTTAGTCCAGGTTTAGACCTGGTTCAGTCCCTAATTTAGTCCTGGTCTAATCCTGGTTTAGTCCCTGGTTTAGTCCTGGTTTAGACCTGGTTTAGACCTGGTTTAGTCCAGGTTTAGACCTGGTTTAGTCCCTGGTTTAGTCCCTGGTTTAGTCCCTGGTTTAGTCTTGGTTTAGTCTTGGTTTAGTCTTGGTTTAGTCTTGGTTTAGTCTTGGTTTAGTCCTGGTTTAGACCTGGTTTAGTCCTGGTTTAGACCTGGTTTAGACCTGGTTTAGACCTGGTTTAGACCTGGTTTAGACCTGGTTTAGACCTGGTTTAGTCCCTGGTTTAGAGAAATGACATATCATCCACAGAAACGAGCCGGTAACAGACCCTCTCCTCCTCCCTCCCTCCCCCTTAAACCGTAAAGTTCCGCAGTGCAGCTTTAGTCTTACCTACGAGCTCCACTTGGGCCTCGTAGTTTCCTCTGATCTCCGAGTCGGTGCTGGGCGTCTGGCAGGTGTAAAACCCCGAGTCGGTCTGTTTGACGTCGGAGATCCGCAGCTCCACCTCGTTGTCCTTGAGTCGCTCCATGGAGATGTCGCCGGACGCCACTCTGCGCGACAACGACGGGTGCGAGTATCCGGTGTCGAACGTCGAGATGATCTTTATCTGCGCCGAACTGTGGGGCCGCTTCATCACCCACTCGAAATCCTGAGGGAAAAACACAAGAAAAAATTATTAAGAAGAAATTACAATCTTTTTTTGTAATTTTGATTTGGTACTTTTGGTAAAAATGAGTCCAACTTAATTAAAATTTCGTGAAAAGGTTAATTATTTTTTCGTCTCTCATTTCAGAAAGTCAAACCCAGATATTAAACCGACTCATGAAATAGAAAAAAAGGTGAGTTTATTTCATGATTTTTTAATGATTGTGGCTTAAAAATATATTTTTTTTAATTAAAAAAAAAAGAAATTCTGTGTTTTAAAATTTGAATATTATGACCAAAAAAAATTTATTTATCATTATTAATTTTACATCAGTTACATGACAATTGGTGTAGAAAATTTGAAAATAAATGTACAAAAGATTTGGTTTAGTCCTGGTTTAGTCCTGGGTTTAATCCTGGTTTAGGTTCTGGTTTAGTCCTTGGTTTAGTCCCTGGTTTAGTCCCTTTTTAGTCCCTTTTTAGTCCTGGCTTAGTCCTGGGTTAGTCCTGGGTTAGTCCTGGGTTAGTTCTAGTTTAGCTCTAGTTTAGTCCTTGGTTCAGTTTTGGTTTAATCCTGGTTTAGTTCTAGTTTAGTCCCTAGTTTAGTCCTTGGTTTAGTCCTTGGTTTAGTCCTTGGTTTAGTCCTTAGTCCTGGTTTAGTCCTGGTTTAGTCCTTGGTTTAGTCCTGGTTTAGTCCCTTTTTAGTCCTTTTTTAGTCCTCGGGTTTAGTTCCTGGTTTAGTCCTGGTTTAGTTCTGGTTTAGTTCTGGTTTAGTTCTAGTTTAGTTCTAGTTTAGTCCTTGGTTCAGTTTTGGTTTAATCCTGGTTTAGTTCTAGTTTAGTCCTTGGTTTAGTCCTTGGTTTAGTCCTTGGTTTAGTCCTTGGTTTAGTCCTTGGTTTAGTCCTTGGTTTAGTCCTTGGTTTGTTTGTGAGGAGGAAACATTAGATGTGTGACTCTGGTCTTTTCATTTGTTGGTTTTGAGTTCTGGTCTGGTTTGGTCTGGTCTGGTCTGGTTTGGTCTGGTCTGGTCTGGTTTTGGTTTACAGACTCTGGATAAACTCTGGTGTTTTTCATTTGTTCGTTTTGAGTTCTGGTCTGGTTTGGTCTGGTCTGGTCTGGTTTGGTTTGGTCTGGTCTGGTGGTTTGGTTTACAGACTCTGGTGTTTTTCTTTAAAGTCGTTTGTTTGTGGTTTAACACGTCTCCACTCGTCCCCAAAGCTCCAGTTTCTCCACTTCACCGCTTCAGTTTTCACAACAAACAAACGCAAAAGAAACGACGACACCAGCGGCACGAGGTCTCCACCGATCAGGCCGCGGTTTATTTTGTCAAGTTTTACAGATTTTAATTAATAAAACTGAAAATAGATCTGTGTGTCATTTGTTCTTTTAAATTTCAATTAAGAAAAACAATAAAAAGGGTTATTTTAAAAGACTAAACTGGGACTAAATCAAAGCTAAACAAGGACTAATCCAGGGACTAAACCAGGACTAAACCAGGACTAAACCAAGACCAAACCAGGGACTAAACCAGGATCAAACCAGACTAAACAACTAAACCAGGACTAAACCAGGACTAAACCAAGACCAAACCAGGGACTAAACCAGGATCAAACCAGGGAATAAAACCAGGACTAACCCAAGGATTAAACTAGGATTTAACTAGAACTAATCCAGGGATTAAATCAGGGACTGAACCAGGGATGTAAGCAAAACTAGAGCAGAACTATTTATTTATTTTTTAAGTTTTATTTTATTTTATTAGTTTTATTTTATTTTATTCATTTTATTTTATTGTATTAGTTTTATTTTATTTTATTTGTTTAATTTAAATTTAATTAATTAATTTTATTTTATTATTTACTATTTATTAAAAGTCTTTATTAAACCACTAAGTTTGTGCAGAATTAATATGAAAAACACAGATTTTACTCAAAACTATGAAAATGTCAAACACAAAATAATTTAGGAAAATAAACCGAAAAATCCTCTTGGTGATATATTGATACACCAGCCCACGATATCGATACTGTATCATCACATTAAACGATTAAACGATTATCGATATTTTCATATTTTTGTGCTCGTCTCCTCGGGTGTGGGCGGTCAGGGCTCTACATTATTTGAGGAAACGACAAAAGAACATGAGAAAATCTAAATATTGCGTCACAATAATACAGGAGAGTTACGGGAGATTACAAAAATCTGTTCTGATGAGTCACAAAGTCTGTCTCCGGTTTTTAATGTT